TGGTGAAAATTTCATGTCATTAGCACCTCTAGTAATATATTTACTGAGAAAAATGGTGACGTGTTCAATACTTATTTTACCCGCTGTATCTGTTACTTAGTAGCACCAAAATAAAAAAGCTAGTATAAAATTGTCATTAAAGTTAGCAAAACACGTGCTAAAGCTAAAATCAGGAAAATAACTAACATTAGCAAAACTGTTACTTATATTAACAAAAGCTTAACAGAAAATCAAATGCTAAAGCTAAAATCAGCTAGATAAAAGCTAAAATTAGCAAAGCTGTAGCTAATATCTAATTGAAGCATAATGGTTGCTACAGTTACCAAAATGGTGGGTAAAATTCACAAAAGAAAACTGTTAAAGTAGCAGAACAGTAGCTAAAAGATAAAAGTAACATTAAAATTAAAAGAGAAAAATAGCAGATTTCAAGAGCAACATTTTAAATAGAGCTAGGCAATAATTCAATAACAATAATGTATAAATTATGATGGACGTGTGATCAGTTTCATTGGAAAATTTGTCACTGTGCACAGAAATCTGGGTGATGTAGGCAGAGGAAAGGCAGTAGCCACTTGACTTCTCAAGGCCCAGCTAAGCAATGTTGGTGGCATCAACTAACTCACTCACCCTTTGGTCAGCTGAAACAATCTGTTGAGTAACTTACGCAGCAGCAGTTTCATGTTTCACCGCCGTGCCTCAAAACTGCTTCAAAATAAAAACAACGTGCAGAGAGAGAGAGGTGAAAATGAGGCAACAGCTTGAGAAGAAATTGTGGATAAAAGAGGAAAGATCTCGCCACCAGTTTGACCATATTAAACAGCCTTTTATCTCCCAGTCCTTAAATAGACAAAAAAAAAAAACTAATCAATTATCGCTAGCAATTGATATAAAGTGTATATATCATGATACATTTTCCAGAATTGATGAGAACTCAGTTTGTTTATTCCAAGTATTTTATTAAAGTCCAACTGTGTTCAGATATGTTTCTCTTCACCTGAGTGCTGATCTGTAAGAGTAAACAGGAAGAAGTAATCCTGAGTCAGAACAGAGGGAGAACGTCGGACTGAGTCAGTCTGTTTAGTTGAGTGAGAGCACATGATGCTGAGTGGACCTCCGCCTCGGTCCCAGCAGCAGCCTCTCTCTCAGCCTATAGGTTTCATCAATGGGACAATTGTTGGCTGAGATTGAGAATCATCTCAGCCTCAATCATGAGTTTAAGACTGATGAGCAGATGAGTCCTGCATGTTCTGGTCCAGAGGAAACAGAGGAATTTTTCTGGTACCAGAGACTTCCAGTTTGTTCCTTTTTCTGAAAATTGAAACCGTGTTTCTTGTAACTAAAATGGTCTTCCTTCTTAGGTTTTTAACTTTAATAAACAAAATGAAAGTAGATCAGTTTCTGTCAAACTAACTAATACAAATCTGCAAATTTGAAAGCAGTCCTTTTGCTCTTTTTGACCCTAGTTGCTGGTTAACAGTGCAGCTTGTTCTTCCAGTCAGTTTTAACTGCACTGACATGAATTGAGGCAGCTGTTTGTTGTCATTTATAGTTAAGTACCAGAACAATTAAGGGATGGATTGCTGTGATTATTGTTCCTTCTCCAGTAATTACCACCCCGCTACAAGACACTGTAGTTGTATTTGCTGTTGTGGCATTTCGATCATGTGCCATAAGAAATTGAAAATTAAAATAACAAATAAAAGTCGTATTCCTCAAAGAAATGCATGTTTCCCATCGACTTGGATCAGGCTTTTATCTAGAGGGGTGTTGGGGTGGCTTTTGGCACTCCCACCTTTGAATTTGCTGAGATTTAAAAGAGGTTTCTGTTGTAAGTTGTCTTTTTGCCTTCCTGTAAATTTTTTAAACTTTCCTAAGTGACTGGTGGTGACCGCAAATATTTTATTAAGCTAGAGGAAGACACATGGTGCCATCTTGGATAGAGGAGGTAGTTAGCAATGTAATAGCTTCAGTAGCTAACTTTTTGCGTCGTTGTCATAATCTCTGCTCACGTCTGTCCAAACCTTTTTTCCCCTCTGTGTAAACTTCGTAAGCAGCCTGAAGCTTGGTTATAGTCGCGCAGGTATCACACAAACCAGAGCTAGGGTTATTAGCATGTATACTTCATACATTCTTTGAAAGGACTCGTGGTAAGGTTGGGCGATAAATCGATTAAATCGATTAATTTGAATTTGCCATTTATAAAGACTTAAATTTTGGGAAAATCAGTATTTTTTTCCCACCAATGCACTCTTTGTGCTTTTGTAGTTCAGAGGTCACCCCACCTCTCCGTCAAGATGCTTGGTACACGACATGACAATATGGCAGCTAGCAGAGAGGATCTACTTCCCAAAGAAGGCACTGTTTCTTCAGTTTTCTGGAACTGGTTTGGTCAGTGGTTCCCAAACCTTTTCTGATGGGCCCCACTTTGGTTTATAAAAATAATTTCATGCCCCACCACCACAACCACACACACACACACACACACACACACACACACACACACGTTTGTTTCTCGACCCCGTGGGGACCTTCCATTGACTTCCATTCATGTTTTTTATTTTTTATTGTCTAACCCTGACCATATACTCTAAAATGAACCTCACAGGTACCTACCTAACCCTAGAGCTAACCTAAACCTTGGTCCTAAGCCTAACCCCACACACGTAACTTGCATTTGGACCCGTGGGGACCAATGCAAGGTCCACTTGCGCCCCAACTGGAATTGCACTGCGCCCCCTGTAGGAGGCGCGCCCCACACTTTGGGAACATCTGGCTTAGATTTTGTAACCTCAGATTTGGAACAATAAACACCTCACTGCAAAATCTGTTTTGAAGGCTCTTGCTACAAAAAGCAGGAGTACAACAAATTTGTTTCAGCACCTGAAACAGAGGCACTCCGTTAAGTGGGAAACAAAATCGATTAAAATCGAAAATCGAAGTTGGGATGAAAAAAAATCAGATTTTTTTTTGGGCCGTATCGCCCAGCCCTAACTTGTGGCAGTACACTTTGTAACGTACAGTGTTGTAAAAAGGAGAGCAAATGTTTGACAGACAAACAAATTATTTCAATGGAGTACCGAGTTAGAAAAGTTTGGAGGTGCACCACGCCGGGCCAATGCACAGGGGCAGCGACCGCATGATCGCCTCACTTTTGGTGAGCGCTGCCTTGCCTTCAACACGTCATCTTGTAACCTAGTCTTTTAAAACCAGAAGAAGACATGTAAAGTAAAAGGTATTGACGCCTTCTTCCAAAATCCTACCTAAAAGCCTTACTTGCGCGTGAGTCTGCATTGGAGATGACTCTCATCCACTACCACACCACGTTTGATCAAAATGATTATTCACTTATTGCTTAGTTGTTTTTTCTTACTATTTCTCTTGAAGTCAACTCAGCCAAAGAACATCTGTTCTCCTAATTCACTTATCATGTTGTTTTCTTCTTTGTTTATAGACGGATCCCTCCCTAAAGAATCAAAAGGAGATGTGTCGAGCCAGAAAGCAGGTAAAATTTATGCACACCAGTATAAACACATCGTTTTGTTGCTTTTTTTCTTTTGTATTTGTCTGTATTTTATTGATAAGGATTATGAAGCTCTGCAGACCAAATTAAAAGTTTATTGTCACAGACATATCTGTATTCCTGACAGTTTCTTGATTCCCACATTCCTCTTTCTGTACTCCAACGTGCCTCAGAAGCTAAATGGATGCCTGCATCCAGCGTCCATCTCCATAGCAACAACAGACCTTTTTGATGAGATCAGCTTGACATTTATACTGATTTTTTGTTGATTTGTTAGACCTCTTTTTCTTTTATCAATACACCCCTTTTTTGTTGTTTAATACCACACTATCAATATCTTCCAGTTTGTGTTGCCTCCCTCTGATGTGACATTTTGAAGGAACCAGTTTAAAATGAAAGATTATTTCTTGTGCTTCAGCAGGAAGCTGCAATGCTTCATAAACCAGTTTGTGCTCTGCTCTGAAAAGAAAGAAGGCTGCACAAGTGATTGACTCTGCAGCCTTGAAACGGTAAAAACCCTTCAACCCGTCAATATAAAGGAGGACAATGAGTTGGCAGGTTGCTCCGGAGCCTCGGGGCCTTGATGGAGACAGCCTGGGTGAACACAGAAGGATCATATCCCCATGAAAAACATTGCTGTCTAAAGAATCCTTCAGTCTAAATTATACGCTCAAAGATTTATTGCATTTTAATTTTGTGAGGTTTGTTTGTTATTTTAATGATTCTAATGCCTTTGAGCTTTGACAAGGTGTGATGGAAGCTTCTACCTCTGTCCTTTTTGTCTCTTTTGGACAAAATGTATATTTACTCATGCTGTTGAATTGAAGTGTAAATCTTTACTAATAAGGTGAGTTGTGCAGGGCTTTGTCTAACCTCAAGATGGAGCTTATGAGCACATTTCCAGCAGGCAGCAAGTAACAACATGACTGCACTTTGGTTGCATTGAATCTCACCAGAACAAGTGGAGTGAAAAAAAACATGAATTTTGGAGCTTTATGGGTATAAAGCAGCATTTGTTGCAAACGTAGTGTGTTCCCTGCCTCGTCATGGGTTGTCAGAACAAGATCGAGTGGCACAGAAAGATCCAGATAAATGAACACTTGGCACCAAGAACAAGTGGTTCTTTTCTGTAG